AAATAAATAATAATAATATATATATATATATATATATATATATATATATTACTCCCGCGGATGTCGCCCGCGTGGCTGCGTGACGACTATTTGACGCGCACATAAAAACACACACACACACACAACGTGAATTACATACACACGTCGGCTCTGTAGATAGGTACATACATATACAGCTTTGCTAAATGTTTTCTGGTGATCGGTATCTAGCCAAAATGTAGCAAAACGTTTATAATAAAATGGTAACACGCATTGTTTTCCCGATTCAGATTCCTGTCAAATATCGTCGCGCCACGATCTCGTCACGACACGATCTTTTCTCGGCTTTTCTTTCCTTCGAACTTTCGAACTCGTCCCGCTACTTCGGCAAAGAGAGATATTCGTGCCGAATATACGTTCGCAAGAAGTACATCGCACATACGCGAGATCCCTACGCGATCTCGTGTAGAGAAGTGTAGTGAACGTATTCCTTTCTTAACGCTGTCAATTAGTGTGTATGTGTACATATAATTACGATTATTATGTATAAATACGGAGACCATTTCTCACTCTCAGAGAGAAGCAGAACCGTTGTTTGTCACGTCTGATTATACGCTTCTTTAGAATTAGACGAATTTGTTATGACGGATATGTCTAGTCGTAAAGTTTTTAATATTGTAAGTTTCACCTCCATGTTCGAGCTAGAAATTTGCAAAAGTACAAAAACCAATCGAAATGAAATGCAGCAAAAAAAAAAGGGAAGTGAATATTGTGTATTGGATCCTATAAATATCGTTGATACAATATCAATGTTACGAAATAAAACTACATTCCCCTAAACTCGAAGATCATTGCTTGGAAGTGTAATGTTCATTTCTACCAATGCGGATTAACATCATTAATCTCAGTTTAATTTACTCTTTTTCTAATTCTTAGAATTAAAATAAGATGAAAATTAAATCGAGATTAAAATTAATTTACATTGGTGGAAATGGATATGAGGAAACCAAAAATTTCAAAAGAATCACTTCGTCGTTGGATAAATGAACGTGTTTTAAGTTTATTTCTATTCGTACGTTAAATTTTATCAAAATTTATGACAAGTTAAACTTTCATTTAC